ATATTTTCTTTAAATTTAAATGGAAACAATACTGGGGTACTCTCTTTCCAACAAAAAAAGAATCATCAAAATCGGCTTAGAAAAAGCACTTGAATTGAGAACCTCCTCCTTTTGAAGTCGGTTAAAATTAATATATAAAACTCTTATTTGATGTAATTTTATACAAAAAAAAAACCAAATAACCGAAAATTAAAAACCGAAAAAGCCGGTCTTGAAAATCACTCTGTTTTTGCATGCCCTAGTCACAGGGCGTCCTACACTATGTTCACCTTGACGTGATCGCCAATCCAGAAAAAGTCTGCTCCATCAGCCATCACCAGTTTGTAACACACATCGAGTATAATAACCAGAAATAGAGACGAAATGTCATTTAATTTGTTTGAAAACTATTCTGCCATATCATTACTGTGACAACTGCGCTCCGATTGGCTAGTTTCACTTCAAATCGACCAATTAACTTGAGCTTTGCTATAATGGACGTAAATTGCAAAATTACGTATTTAATATTTAATTACCGATGAAATTTATTTCAGTTTGTTTTAAAATTGATGTTTTACTGTTTTTCCTCACACCACCAAATGGAACAGCTCGCCATTGTTAGAGATATTGTCTTTATTACAAAAAATACAGAATATTTTTGAAATATACGTTGGCGCTGTCTATATTTCCGTGCAAACGAGACTTGATATTTATAAGTGATGTATCACTGATGAGTTACCAAGAATATATGACCTTTATTTCGTCTCTACATACAATGGCGTCTATTAACACGCATATTTGTCAAATATCACAAAATAATTTTAGCTCATGATCTATATTTAAATAATATTACAAGGAAAAGAAACTGACTTCTTATATTTCATATTAAAGAGGAATTAATTGATATACACCGCCATTTACCAGCGCCATCTAGATCTCTAAGACGGAATTTTTACCTTTTTCAAAGTTACGATCTTTAGTATGGAGATTAGCAAGGTTCCTACCACAACCTCTTAAAACAATATTACTTTAACCTTTCATTGACTTTTCGTACCATAACGCGCTTAAAGTAAGCTTTCAAAAAAAAAACAATTCCAACAATCAATTCGGCATTATAGTCTAGTGTCAGCTGTTAGTGTCGCCAAGAAGAATATAGATGTCGCTGCTATAATTTCACGAAATTAACGATGAATTGTTTCTTAAGTACTAGTTTATTTAATCATTAAAAATCAATACTCAGGGTCGTATTCTAGAACTCTATTCAATGCTCAAGTCAGGATTGCACTGGCAACACAAGCACTGGAAATACGACCCAAATGGCAGGGACTTGAGTATGATATCAAGTGCTTTAAACCATACTCAAATCCTAACTTGAGCATTGAGTAGAGTTCTAGAATACGACCCTTAGACAATAAATTCGAATAGTTTTAACATTATAATAAGCTTACTTTAAGCCCGTCATGGTACTAAAAGTCAATGCAAGGTTATAGTAATATTGTTTTAAGAGGTTGTGATAGGCCCCCAGGGAAGTACTGCCACCTTAGATACCTATTTCTGCCGCCAAACGTAAGGGTGCTAATTATATTACAGGCACATGAGACTTGTCCTAACGTGAATATCCTAAAACGCGAATAAAATAGAAATACGGCCCAAACAACACCCAAATTTGGAGTTTTACAGTAGAAAGATGTTTGTATTATTTAATAAATTGCCGGATGCTGTTAAAGAATTAAATTGTAGACAATTTAAAATGAAATTGCATAATTTGTTAGTGACTCAATGCTATTACAATATTGATAATTTTTTACTTGATAATATAAAATGTAAAATTTAACTATTGTATGTTATATTTTTGACTTCTTATTTTCTGGTTAAATTCCAATTGTTGCAGTTTGTTTATGCTATTGTTTTAATTTTACTTTAATTCGTGCTTCGTCTAAAGTGAAACAAGCATTGTTTGAAATGTTCGCATGTATATGACCTGCATTTTTAACTGTATTTTCAGCGAATAAATATCTTGTATTCAATTTATGTCTCAAGGTGACGGGTGGAGTATCATATCATTGTGATTTAAAGCTGTGAGTGGCATTGCAACTGTTATGGACAGGTCTGTCGCTTACCACCAGGCGCACACTTGTTCGTCTCGTCATTTGATAAAACAAATAAATCTAATTATGAATACTTTCAGTGTGTGTCAGTATTACTTTCCTTTTGATTCTTTTGTATCCTAGTAAAAACCAAATTATTAAAACTGACAAAGAAGACATTGCACAACCATTTTTTTAGCTAGCTCAAACAATTAAAATTAAGTAGTTCTTGGAACACAAAGGCGAATATCAGATTTCAAAATGCAATGTGCATTGAAGGCGAAATTTTCGCTTCATCAGGTTTATAAATGTAAGTTGCAGGTTTGAGAAATTTTTTGCTGTTGCCCTTGTTTGTGCAAAAATCACTACATTATATTTTAGGTTGAATCTTAAATCATATCGAGTGCTTAGGTTTTCGATTCTAACACATAGGCAATGAATTTTATCAGACCTAAATCGCACATAGTTGTTTTTTGAAGTAGACCAATGTTTCGTACCCATTACGGGCAAGGGCGTCGCCAAGGCATGGAAGGGCAGCTTTTCATTGGTTAGAATAAACGCATGACGACATTGAGATGTGTAGATCATATGCCAATTTTCGGCGGTAGAGTCATTAACACATCTTGATTCCGCAAAACGATTCTACGACTGACATAATCGGTTTTAACCGACTTAAAAAGCAGGAGGAGGTTTCCAATTGGACTGTATTTTTTTAATGTATTTACGCGATAATTTATGAACCGATTTTGATGATTCTTTTTTGTTCGAAAGAGGGTACCTCATTTGTAGTCCCATTTAGATTTGAAGAAAATATTCCACCTCTAAGGGTTGCAAAGTAGTCTAGACTCTCCTACGGGATCATCCTTTGGGGAAACTGCACAGACGTTCAAGAAGTTTTTGTTCTCCAAAAGAAGTGTAGGTATAAGAATATTAGCAAACATAGACCAAATGACATCTTGTAAAAACTATTTTCGCAAATTTAACATATTAACGATATGTTGCATATACATACTTGAAGCTTGTAAATTCACTAAAAAACTTGTATTCGCCGTTAAAAACAGTTAAACGAAATAATCGTAATCTGTTCAAGTTGAAATTACCTCCTTCAAAAATGAAATTGTATTCATCGGGTCCCCACTCAATGTTAATAAAAATATATAACCATCTCCCGAACAGCATAAAATGTACTCAGGATTCCAAGGCTTTTGAAAGTCAATTAAAAACTCTCTTAATTGATAGGAGTTATTACAATATAACAGAATACTTTAATGATATTTTTGATGACCTTTTTTAAATGATTTAATATGAAATAATAATAGAAAATTATAATTGTATGTTTCTGTGTATAAATGTACGTAGGTAAAATTATTTCAAAAATTATATCAATTAGTATAGAGTTGAAACATAATGTGTAAATTATATAGTCCTACTAGACACCATTTTGTACGCGTGGTATCAATTAGGAAATAGTACTGTGTAATAATTTTTATCTTATTTTTAAAATGTGTATAGCGCCACTCTCTTTGCAAACACCCTTACAGGGTGTCACATGTACTGTAATTTTAATATTATTAACATGTGACTATGCAATAAACGATTGAATTGAATTGAAGTAGGGTATGAATCCGGTTTCTCGCACTTTCCGATAACCGAATTCAATAAAACTTGGCATATATATATTCCACTAATTTTTGAGGTCGGTTTTTTAATACTCTGTGCTGAGTAACTTAACTTATTAAATCAACGTACGTAGTTGACATTTATCAAGTATAATAATAATAAAAACAAAGTAATTTTGGTGGCAGTATCACGAAAGTGACCGAAATACAAATATGCGTTAGTTATGCCACTCGAGAAGGACAATGTACCTATTCGCTTGCTGAACTAGCAGCAAACGGGGTGTGTCCTACACACCAAGTAATATTTAATAGCAATAGAGCTCCTTGTGAAATATTTCGTCTAGGGAAGTACTACTGTACCTATTTCTGCCGCCAAGCGGTAATGTGACCATTACCGCGTTCCGATTTTGAAGGAGAAGGCTGCTGGTGACATTACAAGCACATGGGACTTGTCAACTTATGTCTCAGGGTGACGGCAGTGCCCATCAGATCTTTGTGATTTAAAGCTCTGTGGCACTGCAACTGTTATGGATAGGCGTGCCGCTTACCAACAGGCGCACGACTTGTTCGTCCCATCGCTTGGTGTCATAAAAACATTTATATACTGGGGTTGCCTGTGTTGCTGTAATAAATGAAATAACGAACACACTCATAGCTCCGCACCAGGGAAACCCTGCCCTGCGAGTGTCATGGACACACATATAGATAACCACAAATAAAATTACACACAAACTCACTAGAGAAATAAACGTAGAACCCGGGACCTTTGCGTGGCAGGACAAATTTGGTAACCATTCGACTACGAGAGCAGTTTATGTAATAGTTGTAAAAATTCAAAATGTTCTTATTATTATCATAATATCAACCGTCGTCCACTGCTGAACATAGGCCTCTCCCAAAGATTTCCAGACTAGCCGATCGGACGCGACGTGCGGCCATCGGTTACCCGCCTCCTTTACCAGGTCATCCGTCCATCTAGTAGGAAGCCGCCTCACTGAACGCCTTCCGGTTCGTGATCTCGATTCGACAACCTTTCTGCCCCAACGGCCGTCAGTTCAACTTGTTAACCCTTCGAGCTATGTCGGAGACTTTTATTCTTCTACGATCACGTAGAGAAATGCCGAGTTTTGCTCGCTCCATAGCTTGTTGAGTGACTTTGATTTTTTAAGAGGCCCATAGTAAGTGACCACGTGTGAGAGCCGTAGATCATTAAAAACTTTCTTATTCAATGATTCTAAGTTTATTTATTTTATGTCATCGTGTCGAGACAAGACAATCGTATAATTTATCTCACGAGCTGTTTCTGTCTTTCCAGCGGCGGCCCAGGCGACAAGCAACTGGACTCCTCGACCGACGACGATAGCGACGCACCCCACCAGCAGCCGCAGCCACAAGCTCACCAACCCCAGCCTTTATACCCGCTTTACGAACATCCTCTTGCACATTTACACTATCACCATACTTCGCCTTGTTAATTTTACACTGTACATTATTTTAATACTTTTTCTATATTATAATAAACAAATTAGCCAGGGAAAAAGATTTGCCAGCAGCATTATCAGCCTTTAGCATATGCACACTGTCATCATACTCTCATTACCTTAAAAACTTAACACTAATGTTTTTATTGAATATCATTATGTTTGTACCATCATGGTATTCATCTACATTTTTGTGAAAACACTCCACTAGTTTGTTATTAATTACAAAGGTCTAACAAACACAAAGACAACGTAGCCATGTTCTAGTCCAATCGGGCAGAAAGGATTTTTCTGAGTGTTTTTTCGATCTTGTTATAAAACCTAACACTAAGTTCAAATTTAAAATAAAACTGTGCACTAAAATAAAACTAGTTTTTCGGATCTCTTTCAATCTATCCTTTTTAACATTGTAATATCCTTTAGATGACTTTACCATCAAGGTCCCGAATATACGCAATTTAGATCCTAAATGCTAGTTATATTTCCTATCTGTAACAATCGCAAAAACCTAAGAAATATGTATTATTTTTAAACTACAATAAAAACTAGTCTCGACAATTGTATAGTACCTATATCGTATATTAACACGAACATCATTCACTGTGCTCACATTACACCATTATTATTTAATTTTACTCTCTTTTTAATCACTCCAAGCTAACTGTACACTACAGTTATATATTAAAGCACCAACTACACACTAACTTCAAATTACGATAAAAATTAGGACTCGTAATACAAAATTTCTTTCAACTTACGTTCACATTTGGCTTTATTAAAATACCAAGTATACGATTTCATGTTATATAATCAGACATGCCAACTATAAGTGTCTTTAGTAATTTACATTATAGGAGGCGACGGTATGATGTTCAAAGAAAAAGGGCACATTCATCGTCGAACAAGCGGGTTGTGTTGAACTTCACCATGTTCACAATGAATACTTATGTCGTCGACATACCAAAATAACAATGACGAACTCCCATATAAACTTTTGTTGACATAATTTGTATTCATCTGATTATGTAAAATATGTGAAAAAATATAAAGTACAGAAGCCTTGAACGGAGTTCATAGAAGCTGAATGGTATCGTGGGTTTGTGACGTGACAAAAGTGGAAATTATTTTTATAAGGTATGGTCAAAAAGTATGAACTTAAGCTGTAACAAGAGAAAATATACCGCGGTAACTCAGGCACAAATTATTTTTATGTAAAAGATGCCATCTATCCCTGACAACGAGTGCTTTGTCAGTTTTATCACTTTCCCGTTTTTTCTCAATTTTACTATATTTTCTTTATTTTTTGGGATAAAGTAAATAGTTAATCTCTTATTGCAAATCTTATTAAAACTTACTGCAAGTCGGCCATAAGTACATTTGATATTACATGAACTAAATTAATGTGGACCTATCGACACGTAGGATCTCTTTTTGACAGAAGATTTCATTCAACATTAAGAAACTAAGAACTTGACAGTTTTGAGTTTCGCTTTAATATGATTTTATTTCCACACTTAGAAAGGCCTATGTAATTTGTAAAATTCTAATTTATTTTATGCCTGTAAACGCTAAAAAAATCTATTAACAATCATTTCGCCAGTGTTTTTTTCCGACTAAATGTAATAGATGTTATTAGCATGCTTGATGTTAAAGCTTCAGCATTGCGTACGAACTACACGGGTATCTTCTATTTGAATTGAGTGCCATACATGGTCATGTGAAAGAATTTTTACAAAAGCATACGCTACATTTTTATTGTTTGACAAGAAATTAGCAACCCATGATGTAAATAAGGCCACATCTGGAAAATGACAACTTGCCATGAGATAGGTTTAAATATTCCAAGAACGAAGTTATAGAAAACTTTTTATGCTTAAATTTACCATCATCACTCATGGTTAATCGTTATACCAAGGGTGCGAATTGTTTTGGTTAAAAAAAACTTGTTTAAAGAAGCAGAAAAATATACTCTAGTACATTAATTAAAAGGTCCATTATGTAAAAAAAATATGCTGATGGAATTGCACAATAATAAATAAGTGCTTAGGTTTTAAAGTACAGTCAAGTAGAGTAAAACTTTGGACTTTGACCTTGTTGCGAGAGAAATTGAGTTGAATTTATATCTTAAGTTTCAAGTTTGACGCGATTTTGATTCTATCTTATTTACAAAACAGCAAAGAATATTGTAAATGTGGATAGACTGGCTTTGTGATCTAAACATTGGCTTCCTGA